AGGAACTGGCTTGTTTGTATGCACGAAATTCAAAATATAAGGGGCAGACCAAAAAATCCATCATAACTATCATAAAAAACACAGATTAAAATATTTTGCAGATCAAATTTACTGTATTTTCTGGCGTATAAGTCACATTTATTATGCATCACAGCAGACCCGTCATGTTTATTATGCATTTATTTAATGGTCAAAACAGCTGGGAAGCACGGTGGCACAACCGGCAGAGCTGCTGCCTCTCAGCGAGCAGGTCCCTGGTTAAAATTCCGGTCCGGGGGCCTTCCTGGGTGGAGTTTGCTTGTTCTCTCTGTGCATGCGTGGGTTTTCTCCGGGTACTCCGGTTTCCTCCCACAGACCAAAAACATGCATGTTAGGCTGATTGGCAACTCTAAATTGTCCTTAGGTGTGAGTGAGAGAGTGAATGGTTGTTTGTCTTGTTAGTTTCCATGTGTCCCTGTGATGGACTGGAGACCTGTCCAGGATGAATCCCGCTCCTTGCACAGTGATTGCTGGATATGGGCACCGGCGACCCGTGACACAAAATGGAAGAAGCGGGTAAAAGATAATGGATGGATAGATGGTCAAAACAGCTTTATTTCACCTGGGCGGCGCAGTGCCATCCATCCGTCCATCCATCCATCCATCGTGGCCGGAGTCGTTAGTTCTCCAGCGTTCCTCTGTCTGCACCAGCCGAGTAAAACGAGCATGCACGGGAGGACTCGCTGTTGCAGTTTTTAGAAATTTAAAGCGTCATTCAAAAATTGCTTTATGAATATGGAAAAAAACAACCATATACGTATAAGCTGCAGGACTGATAAATCTATGCAGAAAAAAACTGCAATTTATACGCCAGAAAATACAATAGACTTTATTTGAGTTCCTCAAAAACATGATTTATTATTTTCTTTTATTCAACTTAAAGCTTCACAAACCAGTTGTTATAATCCATCTACCTGGTTTACATTTATAGTCCACTTGATGGCGCAGTAGAGCAAATGAAGCACCATGGCTCGTCGGATCGAGTCGAGCTATTTGATGGAAAGCCTCAGTGCTTCATGAAGCTTCATCTCGCCATCACTACCATAACATCAAACAAGACAATGCGGAACACCGATTTATATGCAGACACTGACAAACAGACAATGACAAACACCTGGGGAAGGACAACAGGTGACGGAGGCAGGACTGACCACAAGAGGGAGACACACACTAGAAAACACAAATCCTCCCATGAAAGAGTCACTTGCACATAAACCAGTACATCAAATCATTAGAGGCGAGACAGAGCTAAAACACAGACACATTATGGTTCATTTAAAACCCTAAAAATAAATCAAATTAGTTTAAAATTCTTGTGTTTTATCTCTTAAAGTACAATAATTATTAGTATATATTTTTGTCAAGCATATATTTTCACATTTCCACAGAGAAAACTTGATTTTAATGTTCCATCAGGAACAAAATGTTCATCGGTTTCTCTTGATTGACAGGTCCTTCATACACAACCGTGGTTTATTTTCCACCATGCAGTGACCGTAGATGGGTGGGAGCTCTTTACCATAACCATAAATTCCACTAGTGTGTAGCTAGGCCTGTCACGATAACAAATTTTGCTGGGCGATTAAATGTCTCAGAAATTATAGCGATAAACAATAATGTTGTTTGAAATTTGTCAATAATTAGTAATTATTGTCAAATTTAAGAAGAAATGTTGATTTGTTTTGAATGTAGTTCCTTTTTTGATCACCAGATGGCAGTATAAGACTGTTTGAACCGAAGGATGGATAGTGAGGGAGCAAGCAGCATGTCTCATTAAGAAAAGTGGGAGGGAGGCCCTTTGACGTGACATGGGCTGTCTCTCTTCGGTTCTCAAAATGGCGGACGCTCTGTGTGGTTTGAGCTAGCATTTTTCACACAAAGCTTTTGATAAAAAAAATCAGTAAACAAGTTCTCAGCTTCTTTTTGCAGAGAAAAACAACTTTTTAGATGAAGGCACGGGTTTCAACCGTGAATTTTGGAGCTTCGACAAGATGGAGGGTTTTTCCCCGAGGTCAGCCTGTTAGCTTAGCTCGTAGCTTAGCTGCTTTTAACTATTCAAAAATTGTGATTTTGGATGGTTTAAATGGATTTTAAAGAGAAATGGAGGGTTCAGTGAAGAGCACCGGAGTTGAGCTTTTTGTCATCCAGTGTCTTCAGTAGAAAGAGAGAGACGTGAAGAAACGATAGCCGATAAATGAAAATGAGGTAGATAATTTTCATTTATCATGCGATTAATTGATTTACTGTTTTTCGCGACAGGCCTATGTGTAGCTATTTTTCTGCACGTTAACATAAACAAACTGATTTTTTCAGTCAAACCTAAATCAAACTTTTTGCTTTTCACTGTAAACATGGACACCTGCTTAAGTTTTACAAAGTTATTCAGCTCTCGAGGTGGTTCTGGAAACAGATGAACCAGATGGAGCTGAGTCCACATCGTCCCCGTGGATAAAGTTCAGAGGTTTTATCATCCCGTCCTGCAGATCCCTGGAACATATAACGCATATGTAATATGTTAAACATTTGGAATAAGTCAGAATCACATACTGGAACTAAACAACCGATATAGATGTCACAATTAATTATATTTGTTACCTCAGTTAGGGTTTTTACAGTCACAAGGGAATAGCTGTATTTATAAGAGAATAATGACATATCTAGAATTTTCCTCTCCCTGAAAGTTGTTACACAACAGCTACACACAGAAGGAGCCTTTGTGCTCACTTTCTCCACTCCGTTGACTTTCACGCTGTCCTGCAACCTTCACCGAGTCCCTGGAGATGGGATGTTATGAGCAAAGCTCGAAAACAAAACAAACGAAAACTGTAAAATCCACGCATCGAGGTCCACCCTGGAGCTGAGATTCCTAAACGACAGACTTCATCTCCTCTCTGTGGTCCAGCTCCTCTGGAACAACGGGGCTCACAGCGCCGGAGCCGTAAATGTTCCGAGATGTTTCCAAGAAAAAACACAACTTAGCGCCTGAAAGTGAGTGGAAGGATTCAGAATATTGAAAAGGAAATTGATCTCCCAGTTTAATTACATATTTTTTCTTATATGCTAAATTTATGAAAATAGAGCATTGGTTTATTAAATCTATATAAAAGTTCAAGTTTATTTATTGTCATTCGCATCACATGTGGTACATGAGGTGGAACAAAGTTGTGTACTCAGTGTCCAAGTTACACCCAAAATATAGCAAAAATATAAAGTTAGAAAAGAAACAGTAGATAAGTATCTAAGATATAAACTAAGATATACGCTAAATGAACGCTAAACGGTATGCTAAAAGATCTACGATATATGCTGAACACTAAAAATGATATTAAACAGCACCCCGAACATGAGTCTGTAGTGAGTAGATGGGTATGAAGCAGCATGAGACAGTCAGCAGCATGGATAATAAGCAGTGTGTGATCAGCAGCATGGATAATCAGCAGCATCAATAATCAGCAGCACTGATGTTCAGTAGCATGAGATCAGCAGCATGGATAATAAGCAGCGTGAGATCAGCAGCATGGATAATCAGCAGCACAGATAAGTCACATATCACCAGTTAAAGTGGCATTACAGTGATTTTTCTTTCTGAAAGGACTCAGGCTCAGAGTTGTGAATGACTCAGCTACAGCCTCACAAAATCTGAGCACAATATCTGTCAAATTGACTGTTACAACCATTTTTGTTTTTATAAGGTCACTTGGCTGTGGCAGCCATCTTGAATCCGGCTGACTCCAAGTGTTAATTAGTTCTAGACGCACATATTTTCTGCAGGTTTTAATAAAATCTGTTCAGTGCTTCATGAGATATTTTGGTAACAAATGCACGGACAAAAGAAGATTTTGCTCCACATTTGTCTTGTAGATGCGAGAAATAATTATCAAGAAAAATGAACGAGATAATTATATATAAAGCGGCAAGAAAAAGTGTTTACCTGTCACATCTGAGTGAACACTTAAACAACACTAAGGTGCGTTTCTGTCATTTTCAGCTCTGTAAACAGTTATTTTTAGAAAAACTAATCAGGAGCATGGACATTTTGCAAAGAAAGAACCGTCTATGGAACAAAATAAATTAGATTATTGGACCGTTGCTGTAAAAAAGTTTCCAACACAGCGCGAGTCTAAATCTCATTCCTTGAAGGTTTGTCAGAATATTAATTCTTTAATGCTGCAACTCAGTTCTGAGTAATGTGTTTGTCTTGTTTATGATTCTGAAGTATCTCAGTTTCGAAACAATCAGAATAAAAAAATAAAGGTTCTGGTAATGTTCAACAATGTTTAGTTACTTTCATGATACTTTGGGGTTATTTCTCAGGGGACATCTTCATCAAGGATATTTCAGGCACTGGAAATTCTTCCAGTGCTGTGTCACATGGGTGGAGAAACTACACTTATCAGGTCATCTGCCCTTCATTCTCTTTCAATTGACCACAGCTGCATTCGGTGATCATCGGTATGCGAGTGTGTCTCTCGGTGTGTGTGTGTGTTGTTCGCTGCTGAAACTGTCCTGGCTGCGAGTCACTGATTCCACTTTGCCCGATGAAGTCGTCTCAAAATGACACATCAACAGTTCTGTGCGTGTCTGTAAGCAAGAAAAACATTCACGAGGGACGGTTTCTGACATTAACTGTCACGTGTTTACACTTAGAGCCCTGCATGCGTGTATGTGTGCTTTCTGACTAACGTGATCAACTCGTGTGGGTGTGCATTTGTACCCAGAACTTTGTGATATGGCATCGAGGAGTGAATAAAGCACAAGCGTCTGCCCGGAGCTCCTATGAGGATGTTTTGTGCTAGTTCAACTGTAAAGTTGTGAATACTAACATTATGTATGAGTGTAATTCTATCAAAGACCAGATTTTACTAATGAATAACAAAACTTCAAGGAGCAGTAGTTGACCTATATATTTATTGACAACTTGTTTTCTTCTATTGCTTCGTTGTTTCTTTGACTCCCTTCTGTCACTCCTTCCTAGTCTTCCTGATGATGTAGAAGTTGGACACCTGAATCATGCCGTTCTGCTTGTTGCTGTTGGCCACAAACACCAGCGCATCAGGGAAACAGCTCTACTCAGGAGTAAAGGGATTAGCACAACGGTGAATAATCACAACCTCACACCATCTGAGTCGAGGAGAGCTCAGCTCATTACCGTTAGTGCTTCTGAGCCAAGTGACACAGACTCGTTGGACCAAACCTGAACCAACGCAGTGTTCTGTACATCCAGAGTCACAGCAGAAAAACATACAGCAGCCTTAATACGAATTATAGATGCTGTATTTACTTTTCATTTTTTAATAAATCAAAATGAAAACCTGCTTTAGTTTTGTTATTATGGAGAATTGGGTGTAAATAGATGTCAAAAAAAACAACAAAAAACAAACCCCGACTACTTCTGTCATGTTTCTGCCCCGTCGTGCCATGATCTCCTCTCTGGTCCACATTTAAGGACTCCTCTCACCACTCTTCTCTGCCAGATTATACTGACAAGAACTGGGTTTTAGGATTCGTACATGGCGCTGGACAACAATGGTTAAAAAGTTTATTGAAATGCAGCTGCTGGTGGAGGTCAGAATCCAGTGGTGGGAGCAATCTCCTCAAACAAGAGAGGTGGGGGCTACCTGAAGGAGTTGGGCAAGATGACGTCACTGTCATTGGGTGCAGCACAGCTGCAGGGCAGAGCGTGGTCAGGGGGGTAATCCAAGAACAAGGTACAGGTGTAGAGGGTTCATACACAGGGGACCAGAAATCCAGATCCAAATCTGTATGATAATCCATGAGTCGTAGTCGTTGAGCCAGAAGGAGTCGTAGCGAGATGTCCTTCTGTGTCGAAGCTTCGAAGCGTGTGTCGAGTAATCCAGGATGATTTATGTGGAACGTGTATCGAGGCGTGTATTGATGATGCATGTAGCGACGGTGGAGGTCTCGTTAGCGGGCCGTACCATGTGACCGATTCAGGAACTGGCTTGTTTGTATGCGAGAGATTCAAAATATAAGGGGCAAGAAAACGCTGCTGATTCTCCCGTAACATTTGGTGTCATGGAATTGTATTTCATGTGTTCAAGCTAAACTGTTAATCAACTTTTTGTCCGATAGAACCAGAAAGGAAGAGGAGATTCTCATAATGAGAGGACTCTCTCCCTATTTTTACCCATCCACTTACACTTTTAAACCATCATCATGAAGCCAGTTTAAGATAATTTACAGATCAAATGTAGACTTTATTTGAGGTCCTCACAAACATGATTTCTTTTATTAATTTTATTTGACTTAAAGCTTCACATATGGGGGCCGAGATGGGGCAGGGCAACCGACTCTGGACCCGGAAATCCCAGGTTCAATCCCCAGTCATTGTACATCTCGTGGTGTCTCTGAGCAGCACACCCTATCCCCAAATCAAATGCTCTCCTGGCGCTTTCAATAGCTACCCACTGCACCACCTGGTGGTGGATGGGTTAAATGCAGAGAGCCAATTTCACCATTGTATGGGAACGTATAATGATGACAATACATAACACACTATTATTATTACAAACCAGTTATGTTATTATAATCCATCTACCTGTTTTACATTTATAGTCCACTTGATGGCGCAAGTAGAGCAAATGAAGCACCATGACGCATAGGATCATGAGTCGAGCTACTTGATGGAAAGCCTCAGTGCTTCATGAAGCTTCATCTCACTATCACTAGTAGTAGGTAATGAGGTCAGAAAGGCAAAGGAAGGGCAGACAGGGAGCAGACTGATCAGGGTTTCCAAGAGGCAGGCGTGAGATCAAGACACGAAGATCAGACAAGGCTGTGACAAGAATGCTGACATCTACTACCGTGAGGGGTTTGATAATCTGGCAGAGAAGAGTGGTGAGAGTCCTTAAATATGGATCAGAACAGGTGCGGTGATGAGCTGAGAGCACAGAGTGGGCGTGGCATGAAGGGGCAGAAACATGACAACTTCAGTATATTTCAACATGCGTTTAACACAACTTACCAAAATGGAGTGGAATAAGTTTAAAACTGTTACACTGGAAACATCAGATTAAACAGGAAGGGATGTTTTTATTTGTACCGGTAGTTCTGTTGTATCATGTTTGAGTCACTTCACATGACAAAATACAGATGTATCTAAAGAATGAACTCAAATAATTAGCACAAAGAGTACAACATGTTTCATGTAGATAGGACCTCAGCCACTAGACGTGAAGACATATGTTATAGGAGTTGAACACAATGCCCATCCATTTAAATTAAAATAGTATTTAAGGATGTTTGAAATGTTTTGTTCAAGAGTAACGGAAGAATGGGGCATGAGATCAATAGATGGAGTGGTGCATCTTCTTCAGTATTGATTGCATACTGTGTCAGTTTGTTGTGAAGAATGAGCTGAGCTGCAAGGTGAAGCTCTGTTTATCTTACCTACATGCATGTTCACAAACTCTGTGTAGTGACCAAGATTGTGGACAGATGGTCAAAATTAGTTTCTTCGAGACAGGATGAGAAGTTTATCTGGGAGAAACTCAGGGTAGTGTCTCTGCTCCTCCTCATCAAGAGGAACCAGTTGAGGTGGTTCAGACATCTAGTAAGGATTCCCCTAAATGTCTCCCTACATCCAACAGGGAGGAGACCCCCGGGAAGACCTACTAAACACTAGAGAGGCTATGGCTATTGGCTGGCCTGGAAATGCTTTAAACTCCTCCCAAATGAGCTGGAAGATGTGTCTGGGGAGACGCCTGAGCCTCCCTGCTCAAGTTGCTGCCCCCATGACTCAACTCGAGAACAAGCACCAAATAACAAATGGATGGACGGTTAGAGAAAAAAGAGCCCTGATGCAGGTTTGTTGGTAATATGTGCGACGTTGGCTACATTTTGATCACCACATCCACCAAATTGCAAAACTGATAGACAATACATTCAAGGAAATGAACGCACAACTCCCACACCAAAACAATACATACGCTTGATGTTGCAGATTGCTGAGGAAGTTGTCAATGTAGTCTTGTCGCATGTCCCCATCTATGTGAGCCAAGTAGGTGTAAAGTTTAGCAAAGGTATCAAACGGGATCCGGGCAGGACCACCTTCCTCATCGTTTGTCAGGATCTCACAGGCGAACTTCAGAGAACTCAAAAGGGTCTGAATTTAGAGAAACACAACAGAAAACTATGCATTTTGTACACACTGTCTAAAAAAAAAAAAAAGAGACAGAAAAATCTTCCCAAGTAGATCAAGGCTGCCCTCATGTGGTTATTGTTCAGCAGCCCTGACAGCAGTGCCTTTTTCAGACACTAAGCTATCCATTATGAAACTCTTCATGCTTTAAAAAAATGTTTGATCAGACTCCTGCAGTTTAATTTATTGGACGAAAACCCAGACCTAAAGTGCCCAACAAAAATCCACATAACAGTAAGAAAGGGACGTATACAATTATTCCTGGAGAACCCAACAGAGAAGTCTGAACAAAACCCACCTGGCTCTAGTCTGCACCTTAGGAGAGCAGAACAAACGCAGTATAAGGTTTTCCAGCTGTGTCTGGCCTTTAGATGAAGAAGTGTTATTAGGATTTGTATCTCACATGGAACATCTCACCGTTCCCAAAGCACCACAGCCCAGGGCAAAAAACTCCATCCAGTCGATTTCTGTGCTAAAGCTGCCCAACGACAGCAGGCTCTCCAGCTGCTCCACAGGAAGACACAGACCCCTCCACTTTGTCTGCAGCTCCTCCCTGCTGCAAGGTTGTATTGGGGAAAGCTATGATTGGGAGAGGAGGAAGAGACTTGAAGGTAAAAACTGGCATATCACATTGCATTTAATAATAAAAATTACATTGGAATACATTCTTTTCACTTGCAATGTGTTGAAAATATTCATAAGCAATGGAAGTCTGCTGACCTGCTGGTGGAGGATCTTCAGCAGACCTGGAGTCAGTTCAGTGCCGGTCTTTGTGGCAACATTCATCTCCAGCCTCTCCTTGACAGGGAGACACTCTCCTTTAGCCAGTGCATTGAAATACCTAAGGGTTGATGTAGTTACAGTGTAAGCACACAGGTGTCATTAACAACTGTGCCAAGCCTTGCACTTGAATTAGTTTAAAAAGATTTTGTGAACGCCATCAGCTGGATAAATAACCCCATGCTATTGTTTTGTTAAAAGTTTCCCGTTTGCTTTATTTCAACAATAATTTTCTAAAAAAAATTAATTTGGTATTACTTTGTCATCGGGGATAAATCGCAATTTAATGTTTACATTCTACTGCTGAAAGCAGCACAAAACAACAAGATTATTACAATAGCAAATTATAAGACAATGCTTCGAGGTATAAAAATATTCTGTGCCGTTTAATTAGTACATTCAAGATAACGTTTTTTCTTTGTTAGAGAGAGTCAGATGGTTTAACCACAGCATTAGCATGCAAGCCTTTGGGATCCAATTACAGCCAATCAATGCAAAAAGAAAATCATTCACACGTGGAAGGGGGTTGCTTCTTCATGCAGTGGTTTCCCCACGAGATCTTATTGTGGTAGCCATTATTTCAGTGATGAAGATTAGAATAACACGATAAATGCATTCCTATTGTTCACCTGAAGCATCACTTACGCTGCACTCCACACCAGCAAGTCCTTGGGTTGTGTTCGGATGGCTGCCTTGGTGAAGGTTTTGAGGATGTCTGGCAGCTTAGGAGGAATGTCGATTTGCTGGGCACAGTAGAAAGTGTCCGGAGGCGGCATGACGGTGCACACACTGCAAGAGTCCAGGTAACTAATGACATACAGAACAAATAAAATGTCCGTGGAAGTGAAGACAACAAAAAGATCCCTAAATTCTGATAAATCTGTTGGTTCCTTGTTTCAATTATTTTTTTCTGTACCCATTCATTTTCCCAAGAACTAAATATTTAATGTAAAAATAAATAAAACAGATACTTTATGTACATTCTTTTGTATAAAATGCCTGTTGTACAGCATAATGGGTATTATTTGCTCAAGTACTTTAGGTCAACCTTATTAAGTGCATCTCTCATTTTTTCCACTAAATATGTTGCTCGTTTAGCAAACACAGCTAAATAAATAAATACATAAATATCTAGTACTTTAACTTCCGTGACATTAAATACGACTGTACCTTTACCACAACCGAAGAATGAAGACCTCGAAAAGTCAAACTGTGGTAAATAAAGTCTAAAGTTAACGATTAGTTGAGACCAAAAGCTAATTTATTTCTAGCACGGTGGATCGCTTTCCCGTTGCCTAGCAACCAGCGTTCTTCTTCTACGGTTTGTTACAATGTTGCATTTAGCGCCCCCACCTGGTCAAGTTCTGTTTCAGTCACTATGACTTTGGCGACCGGAAGTGCATAAGTCACGTGTCTGCAAAAGACCGATTAGAAAGTTTCCCTTCTACTACATTTAAATATTCGCTATACATTAAAACTTCCAAACCTACTTGTTTTTCCTCACAGGAGTTGGCTAATGCTTAATTTAATTTTTGTAAATTACTTGTTTTTGAATATATTCTGAGCACAAAGGGGCAGATAAGAGTTATTCTTCTGTTGCCTTTCATTCTATTTTTGATTGTATACATATTTTGTCTTCTATTGTACATCGTTTTCTTTTTAATTAAAAAAATCTAAATAAATAATAAGAATTACAAGGTTCAAATGAATCAATAAAAATCCAAAACATTCGTCATGCATGCTCATGACTGGGTTAATGTCAAAATACACATTTCACAGGAGCAGTATGGAGTTTTTTTCCTTCATATGGTCATTGTCAAAGCACAACATTCTTCTGCAGTCTCCAAAATATTATTTTCTATATAGTTCCATCCATCATCTTCTTGTTCTGAAGTTGGGTCACAGTTTCTATGTAGTTATGAATATTTGTATGAATCGAATTGGGTGTAGCACTAAAACATGCAAGATATGGCACAACGGCCAACAGTGGACTTAAACAGTGATACTTTAAACAGTATGGAGTACTGGGAAATCCAGGATTTATTTCCTGGATTATTGCGCATGAACTTTGATAATGATGAATGAATAAACTTACCTAAACTTGTTGGGCATGTAATTTTTGGACTAAAATAGGCTTCATCGTTGTTTGCACTTCCTGAAATAAACTGAACCTTCAAGACTCAAACAAGCCGACATAAAACATTCTATACATATTTTAAACTAACAAATATTTGGCTACAAGAGCCAATTTACAAAAAGTACGTCTTCTACTTCTAGAGGATATCTGGGCGAAGTACTTAGACCAAGCATGTTTTCCAGATTATGTCTAAAATAAAATTTATTTTCCAGTCTATATTGTAGTGACAAAAAAAAAAAAAGAAGAAAATAACTTTGTGTCAACACATTTTAATAATCCGATACAATAAACAGACTCATGAAACGGCACATTTTTTACTAAACAGCTTCTTGAAAATAGAGTTCACAGGGTGTGATTAGAAAACAGTACAGCTATGAGTATTTGGTAACATGAATATTATATATATATATAAAAAAGAATATTCCACACCCAGTGCTCATAAAAGCATGACAGGCACATGTACACATTCACCATCAGCTCACGTACACTGGATAGTGCAAATCTGTTTGAGAACATGTATAAACGGAGCAAACGCTTGTCAAATGTTTGAATCGACACGAACAGCGGGGTTCTCCAAGTTCTTACATTATAGTGGTGCACAAGCATGAACAAATGTCTAAAAGAAACTATTAAACAATAAAAATGGACGTTCATCAAAACACATTATGTAGACTTAATAGAAAATCCAGACGCTCGTCTCCACGTACTTCTCCCGAATCTCGTCTTTTTTTTGTTTCTCTTTTTACTTAATACAAAAATAAACTGTACTTCCCCAAAAACCCACTCTGGAGTCTTGCCCCTCTGTCTGCAGATACTTTCAAATGCACACGACAATGTTCCTTAAGCTGCTTCTCCTTTTTATTCATTCTTTCTCTGGAAAATGACTTGAGCAAAGTCGTTCTTCGAGAAATGATCAAGAGTTTTATGGTCGACAGAATTTATGCAACAAGAACCAATAGGACATTTCACTAGATTGTTTGTAATTTAATTTGCTGGGTTTTGCCTGTAAAGCACTTTTACACTACTGAAGACACAGTACGCAATAATTACAAGCTACATCCTGCTTGATATTAAATGAAGTTTAATCTTTCTTATGTGAGCTGATCTGACGGGCGTCACGTTTTAAAGGATCTCACTGGGCTGCAACAGCTGGTGACAGGTTGATCAACTCCATTCATGAGGTGGTCTCCAGAACGTCTCGAGACATTACAGTTCCCCAATTTCCTTGCTCGAGTTGCAGAATTAAACCTTGAATTAGAGATGCACGACATTGGATTTGTGGCTGATATCCGATACGCCGATATGTTAAAACTTATTTGGCCGATAACCGATAACAATACCGATATTTTTTCCTAGAACTACTTACATAGAAGCTTTCTCTGCTGTGGGATTAAAATACATTGTTCTGCATGGTCTTAGTAAGTTTGACCTGCTACCAAATTAATGTTTAATGTCAAATTTATTCAGGACATTTACTCTCTCTAACACAATGACAACACTCGAACAGTGCAAATTTGTAATTTTTCACAAATCTAACCTGTTCACAAGTGACACGTGAAAAGCGCATAAGTAGTAATGCATTAATAGATATACTTGACAGTTTCTTAAATTAAAAGTCAACTTAAAACGGAAGCTTTTTATACCCGTCAGTTATTTTGATGGAATGGCCGATATGCGATATTTAACTTTATCGCTAATATCGGCCGATACCGATACGATGCTGATAATATCGTGCATCCCTACTTTGAATTGTAAATGTTTTTTAAAATGTGCCACAAACACACTCTCACTCACTCGTCATGGGTGTCTCAACAGCTGTATTTTAATATCCCCTGACTGAAAACATGTCCAGGTTTTAACGAGCTGCTGCAGATCAAAATCATACCGGTACGTTGTACGGTACGTGTGTAATTTAATCATCTGCATGGCCTAGAATACAGTTTTGCAAGCCATGCGCACAAAATAAGCCGTGGTTTTCAAAAATTAAGCCTCGTGGCTTTGCTTGTCACTTGATGGGAAATAGAAACCTGTGTCTTCTGACACCAGTGACTCAAGTTGAAGTCACCAACTAGCCACAGACCAGTGAGACACTATCTGATCAACGACTACTGCTTAGATGGTAAGTCATCAGCGTAAAGGACCGTTCCACTTCCTGTCTAGGTCAAACTGAGCATGAACAAAAAAATCTTAACTGCATTACTGAAACCCATTGAATGTAAACCAGACAAACTGAATTAGGGTAATGTGGACGTTAAATTGAGATAAATAGAACATAATGATCAACAGGATTTTGTCCCATAAACTGAGTTAGCATAACCCTCAATACCATCAAATCCAGTTATCTTGTCTCATGATAGAGCCAATCACATCCCTGGCATCTTTTTTTAACACAATTCTTCTTCTGTAATTGGACGATAATCGTTTTAAAAATGTCTCTGCTCCATTGCAAGATCAGACCTTACTTGCTACAAATGCCTAGCTGGTCAGTTGTTCAGTCACATCTCTGTCTTTTCCCATTTCTATCTCTTGCCCCTTTTATTACCAGCAGGGGGCTTCTTCAGCTGGAGAAGGGGAACTCCTGTGGCAAAGCCAGCAGTGGGTTGGTTCGACACACCAAAGGTCAGGCCTGCGGACTGGTTGATGCCGGGGTTGCTGAAGTTAAAGCCAGAGCTGCTGCTGCTACCGAAACCTAGAGAAGGAAAAACCACACAGGTCAAACCAATTAAAAAAAATAAGGTTTTCAGAGATAAAAGCTGATACGACACAGATTTAATTTGCTAAATAATCTTGTTTAAAGTCTGGATGATGTATGCATCTTTTAGTACCTGCACTCAAACTGCCTCCTGCGGGCTTAGTGGTGGAGGAGAAGCCGAAAGTACCCCCAGTCCCCACCCCAACAAATCCTGGCCCGCCACCAAAACCTGTGCGAGAGAGCGACACGGAAGTCAGAGCTCCAGTGAATGCTCTGAGAACACAAGGAGCGGTGCTTCAGGCAGGCACGAGCAAGCAAAACACTAAAACCCCTTACAAAAACAGCTTTAGCTTGTATCAGAGCAAAGCAAGGGCCAAGAGGAGGAAAAAGCCAAAGGTTTCACCAAACACGCCACCGACAAAGGAACACGCCGTGCGCTCAAACCACCTGCTCCCACGCCAAATTCAATTTGTATCAAACTGGTGACGTTTCCACCAAACTCCTCTCAGAATTAAGAAGTTACTCATGTCATAGCAAATGTTTGCTCAGGACTTGGGTGTGAGTGCACTTTACCACGGGCATGAAAGACAAATGGGGGGAAAGGGGAGAGAACGGCTTCTGTGACGGCACCATTCACAAGCAATCTACAGAACAGTTTCACACGAGTGGTCAGAAACCTACACAACCAGCTGCCTGGGATTAAAGGCTATGCATGATGTCAAAGAATCAAGAGGTAGACGCAGTACCTAACAGGGTAGAAGAGCCCAAGCTAGTGCTTGCAAAGGGGTTTCCAAACCCTGCGCCCAAAGGCACATGGGTCCCTAAGGCACAAAGAAAGCATGTTTTACTAATCTGACCCGTTTATCCACAACTATCTTATGCAATAAATGTTTTAGAATATAAGAAAAAATATGAAAACGTACAAACGAATACTACTGTTTACCACAGCCACTGTGCTTTACAGGAACACAAACATACAGCAGCAGGAAAAATAACTATCCCTTACAATTTTAAGTGTTATTAAAAATACACTGTGCACCTGCTGTATACAGCATAGGTACTTTATTTGAACGTATACAAGTTTTTAGTGTATTCCAAGCAATCTGTTGGTTGCTGCTTACTGGGGAATACTTGCTAGTTCTTTCACTCAGAAACTTGTCTTTTTTATTTTTTATTCCCATCTATGCTCTTCTGTCTATAATTTGATTAGATTTGGTTCAAGTCTAATTTTGCCATTTTTCATAATCGGTCAGAAAGAAACCAGGACAAGTGTTTCTCTGTTTAAAAACTGATTTATTGTCAATTCATTTGCAATTCCACTTACATAAGAAAAACACAAACAAAGAACAGAATAACTTAGCTGTTGTTGGCTAACTGCTACTGCATGTGACAAGTTTCCAAATTTTCAAGCTTTCTGAGAATGAACGAACTAGCACAGCCTCCCCACAAAAAATGCACACCTGTATTGTATAGAGCTTAAAAGGCACACCATTTTATATATATTATATATATATACACACACACACTATAAAACACACTTAAACCATTCAAAATTTTGGCAAAAAAAAAAAAAAAAAGAAGCTAATTGGTACTTTTGATTGCGCTTCAGTGTAACTTGGTCATACAACAACAAAAAAACAAACAAAAAAAGACACTATAGAAAAGTTTGAACAATTTTACCAGTGTATTCTTCATTATATTGACAGCTAGAGTATTGGTGGTTGAGGTCATTTCAATAATAATAATTTTAAAAAGCCACTTCGATCAAAAATATTAACAGGTTCCAATTTGTTTTTGTTCAAGCCTGACTTGTGATTCTCAGGGATTCCCAACTCTGGTCCTTGAGGAGCACCGTCCTGCATGTTTTACTTGTTTCTCTGCTCCAACACATCTCATTCAGTGATTTAATTACTTCAAGTGTTGCAGGAGCCTGTAAATCACCCATTTATTCAAATCGGTTGAGTCAAAGCAGGGGAACAACTAAAGCATACAGGATGGTGTTCCTCAAGGACCAGAGTTGGGAACCGTTGACATTTAGTTTTCACATTGCTTGTGCCAAAATGTATCAAAAACTTTTGCATACCATAAACAAATAAACTCATAAGAGGCAACAAAATACAGGAAAAAAGTAAGCAAATGATTGAGAGAGAAAAACGTTAACAGTCTCTTACAGCCAACAGCTAAAAACACCAGAATGAAAGTCGTCTATAAATCAGGCTAATTTTTGAGTACTGTTGAGCCAAAACTGAACAAAAGGAAAAACCTGAACACCACATGTGAATCATGTCTCTTTTAAAAATAACCCAATGAATAAACTGTGGACACATTTATAAAATAATAATGTGCCTGTTATAAAATAAAATTCACATTTATTCCTTTACTTTGTAAAAAAAAGGAGGTATATGGGATTACTCCCTCTGTTCCGATGGCATTCAAGAATAATACAGCGTTTACATAGTACTGATACACAGAATAATACAGTAATAAGGCTGACAGACCATTAAAGAGGATGTACTGTATGTGTTTCTCTGCCGGGTATGACTCTAGAAATGTGGAAGACAATAGTTCAAGCAAAACTGAACAAAACTGAAAATTCTGGACAGCCAGATTTGTTACGAGTTCTGTGGGATCCCAAACTAAGTGGAAATCCTAAAAAACGACTAGTGTTTTTAAAAGGAAAGATGTTCGTAGTTTTTTCTTTTCATAAAAGTGACTTTACCAAGTGAATGAACTGAGACGGCTCCACCAAACGCCACTAGAACCACAACTTTTCCATTCATTAGCTTAGAGGATTAATGATTTTAATCATTATTCTGAGTCCCACGGTTCTATTTGCAACAGCATATTGTAAAACAGACAAATCGTTTTTCCAATATGACCACCGTTTCATCTGGCACTAATGGCACACGTGGACCAGTATGAGCAGCATCAATTACCTTCTTCAGAACTACAATTAAAATTCATCAACGGACTCAGAGTCAGGACAGACCAGCAAAAAACTACCTAAAAAACTGAAAAGTATTCAAGTCTATTGAGAGTACCGTGTTCTGGGAAACTACCTGAAACGATAACGTGTAAAGAGCACTTTTATTCCAGTCACCGAAATGAACTGAACATAAACGGGCCTGGCACCGTTACACCAACGGAAGCCCTGAGGTGACATTAACCAACAGTGACGTGGCCTTGGTGCAAATGGACCGACCAAACCCACTCCAACATTCAGCACCGACGTGGAGGCTCTGTGACGCACAGTACTGTGCAAAAGCTTTTAACCACTCCCGTTTCCTTTAAACTCCGATTCAAGACCGACTTGAATTAAAGTGGTCATGATCAATGGATTTCTACTTTTTCTTTTCAAGTTTTTCTTTGGAATTTGCTTTTTCACTCCTTTTCTGTCCAATCCATGACGGTCTATTGAAGCGTGTGGGAAACTGACAAGTAGATGATGGAAAAAATTAAGTAAATAAAACGTGTAGGGCCTAAAACACGATCTGGCACCCAAACTTTTTTTTTTTAAACTTGCAATCCTAAACCTTCTTGGTTAAATCACACAAACGTTCCTTAAAACACTAAATAACGCCACAACGACAACAGAAGTAGTTTACTCTCATGTCATACCGTGTTCTACGACGACTTTTGTTTTGATACGTATAATTTAAAGTATGCTAGGAACTACATATTTTTTTAGATCGTCTTAAAGACGCCCGACTTGGTGTTTTGTGACTCTCAGTGGGATCCCGACCCCAACGTTGAGAACGAACGGTCTATTGTCGACAAGTTTTTAGCCAAGAGCTCTTAGTGAATGACATTGTTGAAGTTAATAAACTACTTTCTGTCTGTTCAACTGTTATATTTTATGTATATATTATATATATTTATTACAGATTCAACTAAAGAAGTGAGAACAATTTACAGAATGTCTGAGTGATAAACTGCTAAAAGTGACTAAAGCTGGAATATATATATATATATAAAAAAAAATAAAAATATAATAGTTGAACAGACAGAAAGTAGTTTATTA